TTCATTACCACCTACTATGTCCGAGTGGTATAAAACATGAAGAAATAAGTCTAATAAAATATGTTAGTGTCCTCCATTCATAAGACGTTGAATAAACGAGCTGGAAATTTACTGTTCGTAAAATGATGGCATTCGTATAAAAGAATGATTTGAAAAATGAATGGGGTTTTAATGTGTCAATGATTTCTCACTTGAAAATAATCATTAGAAACTATTGAAATATTCAATCTGAACAGCCAATTTGTTTTGGTGTGTAGCTTATCAACTGAAGTCTTTATCACTGACTACAATTAAACTACTTATAATTAAAAACATCTCACTTCGTATATTCTTCTAGGTTTCATATATTAACCAATCACCAATGAAGAAAAATGAATGGACCTTAATAGATATTAAAAAAAGCATGAAAATCATATTTCATCGATGTTAAAGGCGCAAATAAACACACAATTCTTCAAAAAACATACATATTCTCTATTTATTTATTTTTGATTATTATTATTATTATACTAACCTACATAATGAATATAAAAAGAGATTACTTACAAAAGTGATATATGAGTAGAAGGTGCTCACATTGTTATTGATGCTATGATTAGTGGCATTAGTAAACAAAATATTGCTTTCTGATATATATATAGGTTTATTCCTCTCACTGTATTACTGGTTATTAATTGTTTACTCTATTGGCAAACATTTTAAATTATTTGTTAAACCTTTATTTTTTGGATAAACATCAACAAATCTAAGTGGATGAAATTATAATCAAATGAAGTTTATTTTAAAACGAGATAAATTTAATGTATGTTGTCAAATTATAATGGTAATGAATAGTTCCAAATTGTTCTCTTTTCTTCTTCCTTTTTTTCTTTTTTAGAAAAAAGAATTCCAAATCTGACACCTTTTAATTCATTGATTATTATCATAGAATTTAATAAACGAATGAATAAATAACTAGTTGACAATAATATAGATTAATAACTTATAAAAAGGCTTATTTTATCTGTTTTTAGATATATTTTCTCAATTGTGCTTTCTTTTGTTTAGTATCTAACTGACTGATAATAAAGCTGAGTTTTGTTGGATTACAGTTGGTAATAATTTAGGAGTTTTGATGCCAAGTTGTTTTGTGTTGTTTTTTTTTCTTTTTAAATACAAAATATGTCATGCATTAGTTGACAGTAATAGTTGTTTGAATAAAAAAATATTCTTAGGTGATAAGTAATAAACGTTTTGAAGGAAAGTGAGAAACTAAAAGTAATATCCTAAGCATATTGCAAATCTGTTTCATAAAAAAGAGTAACTATGATCATTACAAAACGTGATGAGATGTCATATTTATTGAATAGTAACTGTTTTAGTGGAGATTAAATGCTGACGAGCGTGAATGATGCATTGATAGGTGTAATTGTATCTATACTCGTTCGGTAAAATTTTTATACACTCATAATTTAAAAAGAATTTTTACTTCACAGATCTTGGAGAACCAAAGCTGTTACATTATGATTATGGAATAGTTCACAATTTTCCACATTTATACAACTGAAAAGGTATCATCTTCTTAGCACCAACTTCATTAATTATACGTAACAAATAAATATTTTCTATTGCGGTAAGAAATTATAATTTATTATTATTAATTACAAGAAAATTTGAAAGTTATCAGTATAAGGTTGTGCGGATTATTAAACTTTTGATTGAGATCGGGAACTGATTGATGCTAGACGACCATTGAAAACCTGGAAGCAGTGGGCGGCCGTTTCGACCTATTGTGGTACCCCTCGTCAGTGCTCATTCACGGTCCCGCCCGTAGGATTCGAACCCAGGACCTTCGGCCTTGCGCTGTATCTCTAGATCAGTTAGTCGGCAACCAACGGCGTTAATGTTTATCCTCAACCAATCCACGAAATTGCGCGATCATTTGCCATTGTACTGAGATAGATACCTGTTTCTACACGACACGGATTAGCCTCACTGGCCACGGCTTCTTATACCAGTTACGAAATAATGCCAAGCTTTATTATTATTGTTTTCAGAACAGTTTTTAATGATAACGAATGGTTGTATTTAAATTAATTCATGATAAATGAAGATTTAACAAAAAATGATCGTTCATAATTATTTTCAAATTATTAAACCTAATCAGTCCATAATAAAATGTACTTAACAACATATCTACTTACAAATGATATTCACCATTAAGACATTTCATAGAAGCTTTGAAGATGTATAATAACTTGAAAAAAAACTGTGGAATTCAAACAAGAGTTAAGCATAAGTATTCTCGTAAAGAAGAAAAAAGTTCCCGTGATAAAACATATATATAAATTGATTTTAAACAAAGTATAAACTTTTCGTAGACATCCTAATATTAAAAAGGTTTTATAAATGCGTTAAAACATTCAAGCATATAATGTAGATATCTACAAAATAAAAGATTTTCACTTTTCTAGCTAGAAAGGAAACTAAAAACGATGTCGTTATTCAACTTGGATTGAGCAGCCCACTCACCATATATATGTATATTCATATGATTGGATAACTATGATTATGAAAACATACGTTTATGACATTATTCATGTCAGTCTTCTTTTCTTCAAAAGACTCCACATCTGTAGGATTAGATTTACTTTATTTTCGTTTTCGTTGTTTTGAACGTCTATGTTTGTTCTACTATGTAAGAGTATTCAGGTTCTTTGTAATTCCTAAACTCGAACGGTTTGCTATGGTCTTCTTCACAGATGCATTCCCACAGCTCTTTCGGACAATCAATAGTAGGTCAGGAAGTATTAGAGGCTACAAAAACTTAGCACTTACCTCAAAGCAAATGTCAAAGTTCTTCCTGACACTGAATTATACTTGCAGACTTTACGGTCTCTACTTAAACCACCAGCCCTCTTAAACATGTGTTCTTACAAATACAGAATCTCCTGAAACAGCTCTATAGACTTCAAACACTTCTCTGAAGTTTTTCAATTTTTTTCGTCAAAGATTTACTATAGCTCATTTTGTGTATTTTTAGAATAGGGTAGAATACTGATTACCTAGTATCAGCCAGAGAAACTTTATTCAAGAAACGAGAAACGTTTTATTTTAAGGTATGTGATAAATAAAACCAAAGTCGAGTATCCTCTGAGAAACCTTGACATTCAGTAAAAGAATGCGAGCATTGATAATTTTATTACGTCTACTGAGATTAAGATAATATTGTACATTTTTCAAAAAGTGACTTCAACACTAAACTCAATAACTGTAATTGGCAACAATTAACTGATATGTACAATGAAGCTTGTAATATTTGGATTATGATCATCAAATCCATAAACAGTCGGTACTTGTTTCATTAACTACAAAATTAATAACATTGTTTCACTCAAAAATGCATGACTGATGTAATGAAAATGCTGGATATAGAATATACATCAATTCCCAGACAGTAATTATTGATCACTCATGAAATCCTTTAGAAATCGAATTATAAACACATGTAGGTTCAACTGGAATATAATGGTATAATGTCAATGTTACAAATCCGGTAGGGACTTCAAAGGGCCTAGAGACAAGTGAAGTAGGATTTAATATGAAAATGTATCCGGTGAAAACTTTTGAAACAAAATAGGAAGAGCTATGTTTTTTTTAAAATTTGATGATAAATTCATTTTTCAAGAACAAACATACAAAAAGTACGATTGTATCAGCGTTTTATTCCTGTATGTTAGTTCCATATATTTTTTTTAAAATTGGCATAAAACTTATAGTTTAATTTATTGCCATTTGTAGAAACGTTTATCTAGACTTCGTTAAGCAAAACATATGGATTACAAGAGTTCGTTAATCTCTTTTCTCTTTGCAAAATTATTTACTGAAATAACACATCCATATGAGAAAATCTTCTAGAACATTGTGCTTAGATGCTACAGTATAACATAGAGAAATTGGCTTATTGTAGAGAGGAATGTCAGCAGATTATAAACTTTAGCTTCATATTTATAGGATATAGTATACATTGTTTTTGCAATTCTGTCATTCATTTCATATTTAGCCATAGAATGAAATTTATAGTACTTGTGTATATACATTTCAATATTAATTTATCGCATGTTTTTCTCTTTTCTTTACCTTAGATTATTCATTTAAATGATGTTTTAATGAAGTATTTCACAGATAATAACTAAACTGGGAAGCATGTGTGATTTTCCTTCTGGAGCAAAAATGTTTTTATCCTATTGTGTTAAGTGTAAGTTTATTTGAAGAATAATTTGTTATGTGTTGTATATGAAATTAATTTACATGAAACAATGATATATATATATATATATATATATATATATATATATATATATATATACCTTACTTTTGAAAATATATTCACTTTTAAAAGTGATTTATAGCAAGAACTATTTATTAAATATAACATGGAAAGCTTATTTATCAATATACAATTCCATAAGATTCACTATTTCATAAAGGAGTCAAGTAAACATGTCATTAAACCCTAATACTGCTTTTATACTTTAGTTAAATAATTAGTTAGATTGTAGTAATACTTTACCTATCAATGGGATTATTGTATGGAATGACATTAACTTGTTCAGACCTATTTTTGATTGATCACATATTATTCTCATTGTTCCGTTGTACTATTTAAACTTGGATTAATTTTAATTTGGTTATTTATTCTCTGAAGAAGTGACTTACGCTAAGTCACGAAACGTCAGAAAATCTGATTTTTCTACTCATCGGGATATTACAAATATACTATTTATTTATTTATAACAATTTACCGAATGCTCAGTTTATTCGAAATTATCAAATCAAACCTTGGTAATGATACCTACATTATAGATTTTGTCTGTTGACAAAAATGAACCGATTTTTCCATCAAAGTAGCATACTATTTTTTTCTTTATGTATTAAGTTTTCACAAAACTTTCAACTGAAAAGTATCAAACAACATAAAATTTGTTTTAGGAGTTTGATTATATTATAATCAAACTTACTTGTCTTCTGGCTCTTACTCTGTTAATTACTTTACGTAATTTCAAATTGTGTTGTGTTTCACTAATCGTAGCATAAGAACGTTCTGTTTTACTTGATGATATAATTTGATTAAAATTTATATGTTGTCCAACAAGAGATATTCCTTTATTGTCTGTACGAAATAACCTCCAACTTATTTGACAATACATTACTGATGTAATAAGTAATGGTAAAACATAAAATACAATTAAATCACACATATAAATAGCTTTATAAGCTGTTCGCTTAAATTTAAATGTACACGTTTCAAATGCACCATATTCTGAATATTGTTCAACTGTAGTACTCATAAATATCCATGGTATATTATATGTTAATGTGAAAATCCATATTCCAGTAATAATTTTAATTGCTCTTTTAATAGTACACATATAATGTGCACGCATTGGATAACAAATTCCAACCCATCTTTCAACAGAAAATGCACATATAGATAATGCTGAAGCATCTACACTTAAATATTGTAAACATACACTTAATTGACAAGCAAAATTACCTAATCTCCAATGATTATATGGTTGATAAAATTCTTGTACCATTAATGTTGTACTAGTCATTAATACAAGTAAATCACTAGCTGATAATGAAATAAGATAACAATTAGTTGGTGTATGCAATTTTGATGATAATATTAAAACTAACATAACAAAAATATTTCCAATAACACCGACTGTTAAAATAACTGATAATGAAATTGTGCCAACTAATTTATATGGTAAAGAATAATGAATTAAAGGAATTAATGAAATATTTTTATTCATATTTAATAATGTGAAATTATTGTTATTATTATCCATTTTGTTCTATACTATTTTGTTTGAAATTCTTATTTTCAATTAATTTTAATTAGTGGGATTTTTGAACTTTGTTACAATGTCTGACATGATACTTCGTTTTTCTTTTTTTTTAAAAAAAAAGACAAACTCAACTAAACATTTTGATTCATTGTCAGTTTATTCATCGAAAGTTTAAATTTAAAAGCTGAGGATAATTCTATTGGTTACATAATAAAAAAAATGGTTTTGATTGGTCGAATGAGATATTTATAAACTTACTGGATAATAAAAATTTAAAAAAAAGCAACCTTTGTTGACTTTTAATCCTATATATATATATATATATATATATATATATATATATATATATATATGCTTTATACACATAGTTGCCTTTTTCATTTTGAAAAGAGCAAGAATAGCTTGAATTCATTTGTATTTTGTAGATTCTCGTCAGCTACTTACAACCTGTGATATTTAAAAATCATAATTAATAATAATGGATTTACAATACTTACATGGAAGAGTTTGGTTAGAATTTATATGTTAGAATGAATCCCTAGAAGATATAATGCAAAGGTATTCGCTTCAATTTGTTATTATGTAATAGTTCACATTTTTACAATATTTATATTCCTACGAATAAACACTCGTCGCTTAAATGTTGTTGGACTATGTTCAAATTAACAAGGGCTTCTGCATATTTCGTTATCATATTTAGTTACAGTAAATGCTTACTCTCTGACGTAAACTTAGTTTACGAAATCACAGGTGGTTACATTAGAAAACAGTATCAACTTGAATACAAGTGCCACAAACCGTTATTCGTCATCAATAACGGTTTACCTTTCCATACTGACGCAACCGTAATTAAGACGAAAATAACAACTATTATTAATGATAGTTTATTTATATAATTTTTTTCCATAATTCATGCTTACAAGATAAAATATGAAAATAGGTTGAAAGACAATGACGGCGACGAATTGATATTTGATGCACTACCATAAGTGAGCATTTCGTTATTTATTGCACGACAGAACATCAAAATGTATGCTTCACTCAAACAAAGAGTTAACGTTCTGAGGAAGCTAAAGAAGAAATGAAAGTGCATTTAAAAAAATAAGTGGACAAGGACACTATATGGTAGGAGAGGTAGTTCGGTTATACATATAACTAAGAAAGAATTCTTTAGTTGTATTGAGTTCCGTCAACTTTTGATCAATTAATACTATTCTGAGTCATATTTAGTAAAGTTCAAAAGATTTTAGGACGTATTTTTTGACTGTAAGGAGTCTAATACGTGTTAGGTGAAAACAGTTATCCACATCAGAAAATAAATTAACAGCTGCACAAATACATCAATCAGTTGACGTTAGACATCTACACAGATAGATCCCGGCTCACCGGTGTAGAGTTTAAGCGTTCACGCGCGAGAACGAGGGCTCTGGGTTCTAGCACCGCATACACGATCGTGCATGCGCACATCCAACGAACTCCACACCAACACCGAACGGTCGTCCAGTGATTCGACGTTTTCAATCATGTTCTAGCGTACACCGACTCATCAACTCAACTATCAAATTCACCACAAACTCCACAAATCCCATTCTCGTCAAAATTGTCTTGTGTGCTATTCTTCATCGAACTGTAAGTATCGCAAACAATCTCATGTCCTTCCGATTGTATCAGAATATTATGACTAGTTCAAATATTATTACTTGCTATAAATATCAGCGTTTCATTACCACTTACTATGTCCGAGTGGTATAAAACATGAAGAAATAAGTCTAATAAAATATGTTAGTGTCCTCCATTCATAAGACGTTGAATAAACGAGCTGGAAATTTACTGTTCGTAAAATGATGGCATTCGTATAAAAGAATGATTTGAAAAATGAATGGGGTTTTAATGTGTCAATGATTTCTCACTTGAAAATAATCATTAGAAACTATTGAAATATTCAATCTGAACAGCCAATTTGTTTTGGTGTGTAACTTATCATAGGTATGTGGTCTTGTACATGATAGCAACCAAATTCCGAATTACCTCGAAGAAATTCAGTAAACATAAACAAAAATATAATAAGTATCTATGCTTGTGCTAGTGTTCTTTATATTCGAAAGTTCTTAAATAAACTACAGTTTATGTGATGTATTATTTGACAATTAAAATACACAATTCAAACACATGATATTTCAAGCGAAATAAGGATCATCTTTGTTGTTAAGTTCGAATCAGACAACAAGCCCTATTAACTGAAGATAAAAACCACTGGATCTCAACTAGAATATCTAAGGTGTAAGAGCTGAGTGTTAGAATTAATGACCCTAGATTTTAGTTTTGCAAGAATCCTGAATACACACTTATCAGGAGTACCCTAATAAAATGAGGCAATTATTATTGTTAGTGGCTTTATTCAATATTATATTATTGGCACAATATAGAATTTTCAGCACAATCTATTTCAACAAGTTTCCGTTTCTTAATTATCGGTCGATCATGACGATAAATGTTGAGTGATCGACAGTGTGATATTAGTAATCCAGTCAATCGACATCTAAATAATGTACATTATTTTCACTGCATGCTGTCTGCAACCACGATATCTCTGATTGGGCCTTTTGTAACTTGTACAACGAAAGGTTGTGCACTATTGAGAAAGTCACGTGAATAGGTTATGCGATTATTAACCATAATGATATATTAAAAGAAACAAGAAAACAGATAACTTGTTGAAGTATCCAGATGGGAGTAATATGTAGCCGAGTTTTTTAAGCAAGCTGTCGGATAATCATCAGTATTATTATAAAAAATAACAAATTGAGTGAGAGAGTTTCATTTTTAACGAATAAACTATCATTATATGCATTTGTATATTTAAATACTCTATTTAAATATCTTTGTTTCTATTATATTTGTTATGAAAGGTTGATAATGAAAAACGAAAACGCCCTTAACTTGTTAGAAACTGCTTGGTATGAATTAGAATAATTCAACCCATTAGTAATCGAACACAATAAACATATGAGCTGAAGTGTTGATGTTTAGCATATGCTGCTTGACTTGTCACATATACATTTTACAGCTTTGAAAAAACTATGTGGTTGCTATAAGAGACATTTCCAACTTTACAGTAACTATATGTTTTGAAAATGAAGCCAGTCAAAATAAATCTTTATTCTATAAACGTAAGCTAGAAATCACTAGTTCAACATCAGAATTCTAAATTAATTATTTTTTTATTGTTTTGTGGTGTGTGTTACTTATATCGACATAAGTAGTATATGATGTTCGTCAGGAACAGAATATCTGGCAGTAGAGAGACAAGAGGATCGAACAGTAAAGAAAGGAAACAGAATGCAATTTGTATGAAAATGCAAGAACAATGAAGTCTGAGTCATTATGAGACAACTGATTGACATTTTGCAAATTACGTATTTACTACTTGATTGTTAGATTTTATTAACAAGTCCTGTAATTTGTGCTAAGTACGTACATTTATGAATGCCTATGTGCAACGCATTATTATAAACCTTCCACTACCTTATGAACAAAACATTAATATATTTAGATATTATTAACCCAAATAATACAGATTACATTCAGTCCGACTTGTTTTTTTTTAATTCCAAAGAAAATCAACTAATTTTTATAAATATTGACAGACATGACGTAGTAGTTTCAACTCGGCGTCACCGTCATCGGAACCAAATGTTTTGATGTTAGTTTGTTAGTGGGAATTTGAGATAATCATACTATATATCTGAAACATACTAAACCCAATATTTCTGAAATTGACTTGTCTAAATTTCATTTAAATTATTTCATTGATGATTTTACTAGCGTATGAATTTTTTGAATTAATTGTACAGTTCTTATGTCTAGGCATAAAAAGTAGACGATAAATGTTTTAAAACTTACTCTTCTGTGAATGAAGAGATTGCGATAAAAGCTGATATTAGCTATGTGCTCATTAATGACCCCGCAGCATTAAACCTCTGCTTCTTGACAGAAAAGTATTTCATAGTATGTGCACCCATGGCCTCACCAGTGATCAAAATCAGGTACTGCAGAGGCGTTAATTTGATATCAAATATCAGTTGTTTCCAGTAATAATCTACATAAGATCAGTTGTCGATGTAAAGAGAATTATCTTTACAAACCTTCAATGATTCTAAAACCTATTGAAATGTATCTCAACACATGGTTCTCAATTATAATTTTACCGACTTATTTATAATAATAGCATTAGTATTTAAAAGTTACATGGTGATCGATCTTATTTGTACTATCAGACTAGAGGATAATCAACACTATTTACAATCATAAAACTTATATTAATATGAAAGTAATTATTCAGACAGATTTTTGGAAAGCATTTAATTTTCATCAGAAACTGAAAAGTTTAAAATTTAAGACTTTCTTGATAATTTATTATCATGGGATTCACATTCAAAAACGTTGTATCTCCAATGTTTTATCTGAAGAATTCTGTTTCTCAGTCACGCTTCGATAAAGCAACAATTCCAATATACATAAAGATTATCATTTAGATAATCAGTGATGTCTAGGAGTAATCTCTAAATTATATAGCTGCATGTTATCAATGAATCAGTAATTTTGGGATGAAAAATAATAATGAAAAATTTCAAATGTTTCAACAGATTAAAATAGTAAGTATGAAAAACAGTCGTTATTTTGCTTCTGTCTTCTGAAAAGGATTAATAAGCTAACCAACTACATTGGATCAATGAAATTGTTTAGTTTATGAAAGTCGGTTGTCCTTATCACATCATATATAATGAAATTATACTATTCTATCGACAGTGAATACTAATAAATGTAACTAATATTTTATACTTGTAATCATGAGTAATTAGATTGACCTGGAAAACGTACAATCTTCACCTGAAATGTTGTGAAATGTGATAGTCTTCAAACCGGTTGTAGGTAAACGCTTTGAAAAGTTAATAAAATAGAAGAATATCGATAAACACAAAAATCGTGATTTATTTAAGTACATTCACACCGTAATAGTGTCTTTTGTTATGAATGTCTAATGACTTAAGTTAGTTTAGGCTTTACCTAGAACGTAAAGAG